TCTAAATGAGGCACTCTCACTGTGGAGAAGAAAGTGCTGCAATATGGGCATCCCAATCGGAGATGATAGATTGTACACGATACATTTCGCTGATGACCAAGCCATTCTAGCTGAAGACGAGAGTGATATAAGCTACATGCTTAGAAAACTGGAAGATGAGTACACCAAATGGGGCCTCACAATTAATATACAAAAAAATGAGTACTTAGTTTTAGGAGAACAACCAAAAAGCCTACAAATAGAAATGGGAACTATAAAACCAACAGACAATTTTAAGTACTTGGGAGTCCAAATAACATCAAAAGCAGGAAGTAGCGAAGAAATACATTCCAGGATTGGCCAAGCAAGATCAGCCACCAGACAGCTACACGGACTATTATGGAATAAAAAAATAACAAAAGAAAATAAAAGAAGAATTTATAAAACAATAATAGAAAGTATTGGACTGTATGGCGCCGAACTCTGGGAAATAAACCAAAGAAACAAATCAAAAATTAAGGCCATGGAAATGAACTACTGGAGACGATGTTGCCAGCTCACTAGACTTGATAGGGTGAGAAACGAAGATATTCGGAGAGAAATGGAAATCGATCTAGACATAATAGACACAATCGAAGCCAAAAGACTTAACTGGTATGGACACCTTCAGAGAATGCCGGAAAATAGATGGCCAAAAAAAATAGAAGAATGGACTCCGCCCACTAGAAGAAAACGAGGTAGACCAAGACGATCCTGGAGAGACGATGTCGACGATGCAATGACCGCCAGAGATCTAACAACTGAAGATTGCTTCGACAGAAAACCATAGATAAGAAGGTTAGGTTAGGTTATGCAGAAAACGGTGGAAATTAGGATGCGAGAAGCGGCGCCAGCTGTAGAAGACTCGCTTGTTATATATATTATATAATACATTTTTCAGGCCACCCCTAAAAGTCAGTTCAGACGCCGTGAAAAGAATGTGTATTACGTGTTGCGTTTTGTCATACTGACGTTTCTAATATTTGACAATATTTAAATCAACTATATTATATATTATACATTTATAATATATAACTATATTATATATTTATCTATGATTTAAATGGCCAAAATTTTGTGATTTATTATTTAAAAGAAAAATTAAGTTGATTAAAAAATTAAAAGATAAAAAAAGTTAAGTAGAAAAGAGCAATAATAAAAATGTTTTATTCATGTGTTATTATAACATTTGTTATAGTTTTATGTTTAGAAATTATCATATATTATTATTAGGAATAAAGATCACAGTAACAGTATATTTAGAGCTGCTGTAAGTAAAATAAGAATTGCCATGTTGATATCCAACCTTCGTTAGAAGATGGAACCTTAAGAAGAAGAACAGTATATTGGAATTCATTGAATTGTTGTATAACTTAACTTAACATGGAATTAAATTTTAGTGAATTAGAATATATTACGTTAAATAAAGATCCGGTAGTGACAGGAAAAGGTTCGCGCTATTGCCTGAATACAACATTATGTGATTTTTCGTCAACTGAGTACATTTCATTATATTGATCGATTTGTCAACAATATAAGTTATTGTTCACAAAGTAATATTGTTCAGTAGTAGTAGTATTTAGTAAAATTCATTGTTTATAATTTAATCATAGAATAAAAAAAATTGACAATTCAAATTGTCAAACATCTGACATCAATATGATAAAACACACACGTTATAATATATTCTTGTATTACGTGTGGCCTAACTTTTAGGGGTGGTCTGAAAAATTTATTATATTTTTGCAAAATTTTGAAGTACATTTGATTCGTAGAACGGATTTAACATTTGTTTTTAATTTAGAATTTAGTCCTCTACAAATAGTTTTTTTATGACTTTTGATCTAAAATAATTAGGGAAGCAGCAATTCAACAATTTAAAATTTCCCATTGAGTTTCCCATGGCCCGTTTGACGATTCACCACCCGGTATATGGTGGTCAAACCACCTTGGTCAAACTATAAAACTTAACAAAGAGAACCAAACAGCAGAGATAAAGAGACGACTTAGACTGGCATGAGCGGCATTTGGCAAACTAAGCTACATTCTTAAAAACAAAAGATATCCACAGCATCTTAAGACCAAAGTATACAATCAATGCGTACTCCCTGTTCTTACTTATGGTTCCCAAACGTGGACATTTACAAAAGCAAACATGGACAAAATCATAAAAACCCAAAGAGCAATGGATAAAAAAAGAAACGAGTGGATAAGAGAGAAAACAAAAGTTAGGGATGTTAGACAAGAAGTTGCAAAATTGAAATGGAGATTTGCCGGACACAATATAAGACAAAAAGAAGACCGATGGAACAAAATTCTTATAAGTTGGAGACCGTGGGAATATAAACGCAGCAGATGAAGGCCTCAAATGAGATGGGCAGATGATATCAAGAAGCACGTGGGCTCTAGGTGGATGACTGTAGCGACAGACAGAGAAGAATGGAAAAGGATTGGGGAGGCATATGTCCAAAGATGGACCGAAGAAGGCTAATTAGATAGATAGATTAGATAGGTAGTAAAGGTGATAGTCTTTTTGGAAATAAATTATAGCACTGTAAATGTTTGTAGAACCGAGCAGGTCACTTAATTTTGAAAGTTGAAGTAGTCTCTTTTTAAAGTTTGTAGTGACACATTCAAGTAATATGTGCTGGACTGTTAAGGAGTCATTACAATGTTCAAAGCGAGGACCGTTTTTAGAAGACCTCAGATATATATCAGTAAGACGAGTGTGATCTATTCTAAGCCTTCTGATATTAATATTGTTTATTCTTGCTCATTTGAGGCATAGTGATGAAGGTAACCGTTGGTTTAATTGTGCATAGTTTTGTACTTTACACGTTCCAGTCTGAAGAAACAATTTGATACCAATTTATTCTTGAACAGCTGAGATAACTACTACTATGAGTATTTTTGAAATCAACCAAATGTTTAATTCTAAATTATGCTTTTAGACTTTTTTCATGGACTACTTCTTCTTCTTTTGGTGCCTATCCTCTGTGGATGTTGGCAATTACGTTGGTCCATACACCTTTGTTGACAGCTGCTCTAAATAGATGTACAGTAGTAATTCCTGACCACTGTCTGATGTTCTTCAACCACGATGTCCTCCTGCGCACTTGAGATCTTTTGCCTTCTATCTTGCCTTGTAAAATTAGTTAAATTAGTTGATACTTCTATTACGCATTAGATGCCCTAAGTACTTGATCTTTCTGATTTTCGCGATACGCATAATTTCCAGATCTTTATTCATACGTTGGATCACAGTGTTGTTTGTAACATGATGAATATAAGAAATTCTGACCATGCGATGGTAGCACCACATTTCGAAGGCTTCTAATCATTTGGATGTTGCTTCCGTCAAGGTCCAGGCTTCGACTCCATATAAAAGGGTAGAAAATACACAGCATCTCAAAACCTGTGTTCTTATATCAATATTCAGGTGCATATTACATAAACTCTTTCTGAGACGATTGAAGACATGGACTACATGAAGTCCCAACTGCATGAAGGCCAGGTGGACGACGTCGACTCTGGTGGTGAGATAATAGAGCAGGAGACCTTAAATCTATGGGCGTGGAGAATTGCATAAAAATTGCTTAAAACTTGGTTTATTATATACTTGGATACATGTACATGAAAACTATATTATACCAGATTAGATAAAAAACTTTTTGACACATTTAAGATTGACCAATAACCTATGAACGAGATCTACGAGAAGCTGGTGAACAGTATAAAATCTGCCATCAAATCTGCAAGGCATGTCAAAACTAAAGCTTTAAGCAGTAAATCTGCTGAAACAAACACATAACTGCTGATCCCTTAAAAGAATCAAATGTACCTAAACTGGGTTAACATACAAACTTAACGTGATTTGTTTCAAGGTCAAACCCATATAGATTTAGAAATAGAATTAATTATAAAACAAACTATAAGTAATGCAAGTAGAGTTTTCGGAAATTAGTTCGTCGGAAAATCATTCAAATTAATAAAAAATTAGATCTAAAGAAATGGTAACATTTTACTTGCATCTATAAAAATATGGATTAATCACAATTAATCATATTGAATAATTGTTGTAACAACCGCTGTATCTAAACAGAAATATCAATTGGGGACGGCAAAACAAAATAAAAATTGGATATGACATACTAAAAAATGTGCTGCAGGCTCAGACGGAATTCCATCAGTATTGATTACAAACGAGTCAGACAAACTGGGAGAGATTTAACCAAAGAATGGAAGAACGCCCACGTAACTTTAATCCATAAAAATAATTATACATGGAACTGTTACAACAGTACAGGAATATCAGCAACTAGCATACTTGTAACTGAAGATCACAAATATACTTTTTGTAGAACAACCAATGAAACGTTTTAATTAATAAGTAGTCCAATAAACTATTTGATAATCCACAACTATCACGTTTTAAACAATTAATTGTATTTGAAATTATTTTAGTTTTACCTCATATCAAGTGTATTTGGAATTTATTGATCAATACTCAATTTGATATATTTGTACTAGCTTTATTATATTTAACAACTCCAAAAACACAATTGACAATATTTATTTGTATATTCTAAAGTACTTAATTACAAGCAGGTTATGTTTAAAGCCTTATTTATTTTCTATTAAAAATTATGTGTTTTATATTTCCTACAATTTACCTTTTTACCCTAATGTAACTTTATATTAATTATACTTTCCTTCTTTAGTAGTAATACATCAACATAAACATAGTTCAAATCTACCAATGAATTGTACCACTACACATCGATTTTTAATTATATTATAACTTTATTAATTGAAAAAATCTTACATGGTCCTTGAATCTTTAAATATATGACCACTAATCTATTCTCTAGATGACTTCTAAGTAATCTAAGTCCTAACAAATATAACAATGCTTTGAATGAACAGTGCAAAAGACAAACACAGGCACATCTAATTGTAATAATATGATTTAAATAAAATACCTCTGTATCCTTCCCTTCCAGGAACTTGAAGATGAGATGGGTTAGGTTGTGTTAGTGCCTTCTGTACCAAACCAGTCAGGTTAGCTAATTGTCGTTCCATATTTTCAACTCGTAATCTAAAAGGTTAAAAAATGTGTAAGGATATTTTAAGTTAAAATTACAATAAACTTGGGTAATATGTGTCCCTAGTTTTTGTGTCGAGCGCAAGTGCATTTGCCACAGATGTATTTTTTTAAATATAAAAATTTATAAATTTGTGGTGGATTAGACCGTTACTTGATGGCAATTCATTTTGTATAACAATAAAATACTAAAACTTTCACAAAATTTATTATCATTTTATTACTACCGCTATTTCGGCAGAGGGCCTTTCTCAAATGATCTATTTTTGGTATATGTTACACTTTATAGTCTTTAACTGAATAGGTTGAGGATGGATGAACTGCTTGTCTCAAGTTAATCATTTAGAATTATGTCTTTATTATATATATATATATATATATATATATATATATATATATATATATATATATATATATATATCATGGCAGAGACTACAGGCTCTGCCGCTTCTCGCGCATTTCGACCGTCATTCGTCTTCTTTGATGGCTCTATCTCTTATTATGTGCCGTACATTTTCTTCCCAGGCAACTGAATACCTTTCCCCTCTTCTCCTTTGTTATGGTATGTAATTTAAAGCATTTTTTCGCTATGTATCTTCATTCATGCTCTTCACGTGACCATACCACACTAATTGTCTCGTTTCAATTTTGTCTACATTGGAATATACAGTATTTGTCCTCCTTCTAATATCTTCATTCCCGATATGTTTTTTTTTTGGATAAACCTTACGCTTTCCTTACAAAAACCATTTCTACTATTTCTACATTTTTTCTATCTTTTTTCGTGATCTGCCAAACTTCTGCCCCATAAGTAATAATAGGCTCTACCAAGGTTCGATAGATTGTTAGTTTCGTTTTTTGTCTAATATCTTTAGACCATAGTAAAGAGTTTAGAATGTTTACCTCTTTTTTTTTCCTGATGCGTTCTGTTTTCGATGTCTCTTTTGATAGTGCCTTACATGTTTTTGTGTTTCTAATTTCTAACTTTGGATCTTCTTTATTATCTCCTATTTTAAGATACTCTGTCTTTGACATATTCATATTAAGGCCCCATTTTTCACATTCTTTATTCACTTTTTTAAACATGTAGTCCATGTCTTCCTCATGATTCATTTGTAAAAAATAAAGTTGTTAGACATTTACCACTGTCTATGTCTATTTCCATTCCAGATACATGTTTTCTCCACTACTATAGCGATGATTGAATGAATATTTTAAATAACGTCGGAGATGGACAATATCCTTGTTTAAGCCCCTTTGTTATTGGAAATGATTCAGATATAAAGTTTCCTTCTTCAACGACACTTCTTGCATTTTTGTAAACATTTGCGATAGCATTCACATACTCTATACTGAGACCTACTTTCGTCAATGTTTGAAACTTTTTTTTAAAGGTACCTTATCGTATGCCTTCTCTAAATCTACAAACAATAGGTGGGTAGATAGAATCCTTACCTTTCGTTTTTCGATTACCTGCTGCAGAACGAAGTTACTATCAGTGCACGATCTTCCTGCATCAAATCCATTTTGTTCTTTTATGTCTTCGTATTCTGATTCTATTCTTTCTTTTATTGCCTTTATTTTTTAATTTGTTAATTTCTATAGATTCAAATAAAGATAGCTTAAGGACTTTATTTTGGATGTGAAAAATTTTAAATTCGTCGTTAAAAGAATGACTATGGTCTCGAAGGTTAAGTGCGTATGTAGAATCTGTTTTTCTATTATTGAAAGCCCTTTTATGCTCTGCTATACGTTTGTTAATACCAGTTTGACCAATTTAAGTGTAATTGTAAGGAAAACAAGTAAAGAAAAAGTTTCAAGTGCTACGAATAAGACTGATTCTCATTTGAATGAAAATAAAAATCATAAAGACGACCATGTAGTAACTGTGAGGCTCGTGGATACCCTGGACGTTTTCATTCACTGGAATTTTGCAGATACAAAACCTGTAGCGCTGATGCAAGAAGGGTAAATCTAACGAATATTGGAGAACTGTTACAATCAAGAATAATAAGGTCAATAAAATTTATGATAGTGGATCTTATCTCAAACAAGTTATAATAAAATAGAGTTACATATGAAAATCCATGAAATAAAGGCCCATGTGATTATAAATAAATGATAATTTTTCATATGACGTATTGCTAGGATTAAATGCTATTAAACAGTTTCGTTTGCTACAAGATGAAAACTTAAATATAATCCAAAGAATGGATTAAAATAAGATAGAAGATACAAAGGCATTAAATTAAAATATAAGATATAATAATAATAATAATAGTAAAACTGAGACATTCGTAAAACATAAAGTTTAGGTAAGACATTTCGAAGGAAACTCCTGTGACTATTTAAATAAAGTAAAAGATCAATACAACATTAAAGTAAGAAAATTTTTTAAATATTAGATGAAAATTTATCGATGTCTGTTAAATACAAGTACGATCTCAGACAAATAAAAAATCAAGAGGCTCACATTAAACTCTTAGAAATTACTATTTTGTTTAAAAATATATCCAGCAATTTTTCAACGAATATACTTTTTAGTACAATTCGACGTTACGGAGTTCAGGGCTTTTGCATACATTATATTGATGATATTTAATTTTTTTTTTAATTTTGAACATCATTTTTATCAGATAGAATAACTACTTTGTGCACTTAGGCAAGAACAGTTCCTGCTAAAACTATCAAAATATAAATTTGCTTAGTTTTCTCTAAAGTATTTAGGTCACATTCTAGCTTATAATTCTGTGAGACCACATCATGATAACTTAAAATCTAATAAACATTTTCCCATACCACAATAGAAAAAATAAATTTTTATTATAAATACATTCCAGATCATATGAAGACTCTTAAGCACATCCATTACCTTTTACGTAATAAAACAGTTTAACTGGACAGATGAATGCGAGGCAACTTTCATTCGAGTTAAAGAATATCTATGCAAAACTCCAATATTGTATATTTTTGACCCACACAAAATACTACTACTACTATCGGTTTATAGCGTTCTCCGACGCCTTCCGACTCCTAACCGCCATTCTTCTCTATTTAACCATAGGCCTACAGGGATTTCTCTTTCCTCTAGTTCTTTTTCAATTCCCTCTCTCCAGCTTCTTCTCGGCCTTCCTTTTTTCCTTCTTCCTTGTGGTGTCCACGTCAAAATCTGTTTCGGAATCCTGTCATCTGGCATTCTCTGTACATGGCTGTACCATATTAACTGTTTTGTTTTTATGTCATCAACTATTGTATGCTCGACTCCCATCATTTCTCGTATTCTCTAATTTTTTATCCGATCTCTTCTTGATTTGCCTGCTGCTCTTCTCCAGAAGTCCATTTCTGTTCCTAGTAACAGTTTCTCTATTCTTTGTTTCATTGGCCAAACTTCACTGCCATATGTGGTTACACTTTAAGTATGATGTTGTATATCAGTTGTTTGTTTGCTTTAGATATTGCTTGGTACCACAGAATTCCGTTCATCATGGATATGGCTTTTCTACCCTGTATGTTTCTGTCTTTTATAGCAGCATCGAGTGTCCCACCTTGAGTTATCTTCATATCCAGGTACTTGTATTAATCACAGTGTCTAATTTTTACCCCCATCGTCTAATATAATGGACTGCTTTGTCCCTCCAATACACATGGCTTCAGTTTTCTTAATGTTGACTTCAAGACCCCATTTGTTATATTCTTCTATTAGCTTCCGAGTTATGTAAATCAAGTCGTCATGGTCCTGAGCAATCAGTATTTGGTCTTTAGCGAAACATAAGGTATACAGTGTAGTCTCGTCATTGAGAGGAATTACCATGCCATTACATTTTATTTTCCACTGCTTGAGGGCTTGTTCCAGATAAATTTTGAAAAGGGTAGGAGAAATACAGCAACCCTGCTTTAGTCCTCTTGTGACCTTAAATCCCGTTGATATCCTTGATCCAGTTTTAATTTTTGCAGTCGTTCCATTATACACACTTTGGACTGATTTAATAAGACCATGCTTATTGTTGGTTTGCTGTAGGGTTGATCATAGTTTACTGAGGGGTACACTGTCATATGCTTTTTGTTAGTCTACGTACACCGGGTGAACTTGTTATTGACGGCTGACCCACACAAAATTTTTTATTAACAGATGCCATTGCTTTAGGAGTTGAAGCAGTTTTAAAACAGATACAAGATAATGGTGAGTTTCATCCGGTGGCCTATTTTTCAAACAAATTCACGCCACCACAAGCAAATAAAAAAGCAGTTTATTTGGAATGTCTTACAACAAGAGCAGCTCTATGTTATTGATACCATTGGCTAATAGGACAAAAGTTTTAGGTAATCAAAGATCATAAGCCATTAAAAAATCTTAAAATAAAAGCACGAACCGATGTAAAAACTAATGCCCTTTCAATAAACCCTGTATTGGAATATTTTGAGAATACCGATAACATACTTAAAGTGGGTTATTTGATAACCATCCAAGTCCTAAAAGAGAATTAACAAAATAATCGCACTGAGCTATCTTTAGACCAAGGTACATCTAAATATGGTAAATTTCTTTATAAAAAACTAAGAAATAAAGAACGTATTTAAAAAATAAGACCTTTTTTATTATTTTTAACATTTTGATGCAGTTTTCGCAGAGTTTTATGAATTTTGTAATTAATGTGATATTTGCAAGAAAAACAAATCAAGAAGAAGCCGAGACATTAGTCGTCTATCACATTTAGGGCGAGCCAAAGAACCAGATGAAATCATGTCGATTAACACCATTGGTGGTTTTCCAGGAAACAGGTCATACAAATGTTCTCTTCGCCTTTTAACAGCTCGCTTTACTAGGTTTGCATATACATGTTCTTCTAAAGGCCAAAAAGCTAAAGATCTAATTAGTTTTATACGTCCTATTTTTGAGAAGAGATAAGGTGAAAGTTCTCCTTGCTGATTATTATACAGCGATTCACTAAAATGAGTTCAAATTATTCATGCGAAGCTGTGGCATACTTTTATAGCGGTTGACTGTCCTTTTTTAAACAGTTTAAATGAGCGCTTTAACCAAATACTAGGAAATCGCATCCGCTGCAAGATTTACGATAACCCACGACTTCCATGGTCCAAAATCGTAATTGAATGCACAGATGAATACAACCGGACAACACATAGTGTAACAAAATTCACTTCACTGTATCTAATTTCAGGAGAAAAATCATCAATTTTTGGCTTAAAACAGAATTTTGGTATTTCAAAATTCACAGAGGGATCACGGTAACAATAAAGTGAGACTATACCGTAAGAAGCAAGTATATTAATTTAAAGTCAGGGACTTAGTTTATGTCGAGATGGATAACCCTCTTAACCGAAACAAACTAGATTTAATAAGAAAAAGGTCATTTAAAATTTTAAACAGTGTGTCGTCATTTATTTTATGAAATAAATGGAGGCAGTCATCGGTCTCAGAGAAATTTTGTACATAGACTAAGCCCTTGTCTATTACAGGAGGGGAGATGTAAAAAAGAAAACATTTTCAAGTTGTTATAACAAAATGTAACAGGTCATATAAACATTATAAATTAATATAGAAGAAGAATAAATTGTCACATAGAAAACTACATTACCAATTGTTTTATTATTTTAATAAAATCTAATTTATTACTTTCTAATTTATTATTTTTTGTTCTTGTTATTTTTTGAAGAAATGAAATAGAAATACTAGAAATAAAATAGATATATTGTGTTTTACCATGGAAACTACAAACATAATGCCTACGTAAACTCACCGTGTTGCATCATATGGAGGAACTGACGCAGGTGCTGGAAATGGTGATCTTGTAGATATTCTTGATCCTGTCGGTGGAATTTTAACCCCATAAAGGGAATATGAATCGTCCAGCAATTCCGTGTCACTAAAATAACATAAGATAATAACTTCTTAACTAGTTAGCAAAATAGTAGATAATAGATAGAAATGATTGGCTGTGTTATTACGTTTTACAAAAAACCATCACGCTAGGTCGATTTTAATTTCTAAAATTACACCTAAACACAATTGTTTGCCTCCTCTTATCTTCTATAAGGTAAAACTTACCGTTTTAAAATTTTTAAATAAAAACAGGTAGAATTTAATTTTATTCTAATTCCTCATTCGGCTATTTACCATTTTTTAATGTTGGTAATATCAGTTTTTAATATCAATATAATTTTAATATTAAGTAATATCAATGTTTTCACAAATAATTATCACCAGAGATCTATTGAATTCGATTGTTTTTTCTATTAATACTTTTAAAAATTGCAGATGGTCGTTTATTCCGTAACATTTTTGACTCTCTTGGTGTTTCTAATCTTAATATTTATATGAATATATAAATTGCAATATTTCGGTCATGTAATGAGACATCTAGAGAGGTATAACCTTCTACAACTCATATTGCAGGATAAGATCGCAGGAAGGAGAGGCCCAGGCCGACGAAGAACATCCTGGCTCCGAAATCTCCGACAATGGTATCAAGAAACCACCGCTAAATTTATTTAGAGCCGCCGCGTAAATAAAGTTATTCTTGCCAATATGATCGCCAACGTTCGATAATAGGACAGGGTACCAAAAGGAGAAGATAAATTGTATAGCGTGGCAACAGGGTAGTGATTTTTTTGGCACGTTGCTGTTTTTGGGTTGCAATTAATCCGATATAACAAGAGTTGCAACGAAAAATAAATAACCAAAGTTAGTTAGTGTGCAAAACAGAGTCAAATATTTATCATAGTGCAAAAAGTGAACTTCTATAAGGTGGGTCACTGAAAAAACTATAGGGGATTAACCATAACAAATCGACGAGGTTAACAGATAAAAGCGATAAGAGGCAAACAGATAGCGAAGTCTGGACCGTTTTATTTGCAACGTTGCCACTGGGAGCAAAATATCCAAGAAGACAATATTTTGTTGGTTATTTTGTGTTTTTTGTTAATAGGATATATTAATTAAAGTAAATAAACGGTAGACATTGTCTTCTCTAAATCGTTGAGGTGGAAGGCAGTGCCTTGCACTGAATAATGAAATACATTTTGGAGAAAGCAAAAGTATGGGACAGTGACAACTCGACAACGATGAAAGAATACGAAGAAAAATGAGAGAGGAGGACATCGAAAATTAGGAAAGACAAGGGCATACGAAGAGTAAAAAGCTATCAACTAATACACTACGGAACAAGTATGAACCAAAACTAGATAACATAATTGAAATAATGAACAAATTGTCAAACTATGTCACATAGATAAAGATTTGCCAGAAAGAGAAGAAAAGAAGCAATAGAAGAGCTCATTAAAGATAATTAAAAGTTAAAGAAGAAAAACGGAGATCTAAAACAAGAAAGCAAATAAATCAAAGAGGAATCGAAGGAAATCAAGGAGAATATAGAATTTGTGGAAATACGAAGAAGAAAGAATAAAGTAGCTATGAATGGTATAGCAATAGCACCTATGATCAAAGAGTAATAAAAGAGACAATGCTGAATATATTTACAAGATATATGGGAATTACGGTCAAAATCAGAGATGTATACAAGTTGAGAACAAAAACCTGCCTAATTCAATTAAAAGACTAGGAAGAAAAAATCAAAGTCATGAAACACAAGTCCAAGCTAAAAAACTACAAGGAAGAAAAAATATATATCAAAAATTATATTAAGAGGAAGTGAAATACAAAATACTATAAGGAGGATCACTCAAGAAGAGGGCGATAAAGGTAGTGATGTATATATTGGTACAAACCAGCTGTGGGTAAATAAGAAAGAATAAAAATGGAGTTATAAAGAAGATAGTATAATTATCCAAAAAATCAATAAAAAACAGCAATGGAAAATGCGATAAAGGAACAGGCAATGGACAAGGACATGAGTGGTAATAAAGCAATATGCAATGACCAGGATAGAAACTTAAATAAAAAGAAAGACGAAAAATGTTTACAAATACATAGAGCATCTGCAAACAATTAATAAAATCAAATGTGTGAAAATAATGACAACTGCAAAAACCAAAATACCTGAAGGATGGACAATAGGAACTTGGAACGAAAGAGGTCTTAACGGTAAGCAGACTGAACTTGCAGAAGAATTTAATAATGCTAGAGTAGATATAGTAAGAATAACAAAGACAAAAAGAAAACGCAAGAGTACACAGTTCCTGAGAAATGGCCACTTTTCAGTCATCAGTAGAGTACCCCATTTAGAAAAAGCTAGTAATGGGGTTGGTTGTCTAAGCAATAAAAACCTGACTAGAAGAATTAAATGTTGGGTATGTATCAGTAAATATATTTTAAAAACAAGGATGACAACCGACGTTTATTGAAACAGATAATCTAGATTTTCGAACACTCTAAAAAGGTACCACAAGACAGGACATTTTAAACGAAGGCTTGGTCAAGGACGCTTAAGGTGCACAACTGCATTTGGTAATCGTTAATGTTAGACAAGTTATCGTGAGCTCAAAAACAAATAGACAAAGAATAAACAAAGCACATATACAGCCTAAACCCCAGGTCAAAGCACTTCTTCTCAAAAATCGACAACCTCGTCGATTAGAATTTTCAAGAACACATATTCAGTGAAATATTAACAACTGGAAAAATGTTCTTTTCACTGATGAGACCAGAATTCTATTGTTGAAGCTAGATGGTCAAAATCACTCTACACGAGGTGATGTCATAATGCTTTGGGGAGGTATTAGTTGGTAGGGACGCACTGCACTTGTAGTGGAAGTGATTGGACGAATAACTGGTAACTCTTACTTTAAAACATCCTGCAAGATCATGTTTAGCCATATGTTGGTTACATTGGATATGACAGATTTATATTAATCACGATAATGCTCGACAATCTGCCTCTGCCATAGTAGGTAATTATATTGATGAGGTCCAAATTTTAAGATTGGATTGGCTACCATTTAGTCCGGATATAAATGTAATAGAGCACATGTGGGATCAGCTAAAAAGCTAAATACAATCGTATTTATAACGAGCAGCTTTGTCTTGATGCACACGATGAATAAAAGGCAATTCCACACAGATATGTTAATTGTTAGCACGCCGGAGAAGAATTCAAGCCGTAATAAGTGCTAAAGGAGAGAATATTCGTTACTGATCATGCACTTGTTTCAGTTAAAAAAAATATTTAAGCAATCTAAACTAGTATCAATTTTAGAGTAAAATAATATTATTTATCTAACATTAGGTAATGCAATAGGTTTGCAATTTTCTCCACATAAAAAATGACAATTTGACATTATGTTGGTCAGTATTTTTCATAAAGCCCATTGAGGAAAACTTATTCATATTTATGTTGGTTGGTAAAGCGGCTTTTTTCATCCGACACAATATCGGTCAACAATGATACCAGTCTCTGAGATGTCAACAAACTTTTGACTAACGACATGTATATTTTGGCTATAAAAACCAAACCTGACATACAGATTCTGTTCTGCTCTCAAAATACAAATGTGTCACTTAATCTCTGTAGCAAAAATAAGTTCATTTGGAAAAGAACTTTGAATCTGTGTTTCCAGGTAACATGCACTGAAATCACTGTTCATCAAGTCCACGGCGGGTAAAGACCAAAGAGTTTGATTTTGAACCCGCTTTGGCCTCTTCACATAGATGGAGAAACTCTAACAATTTCGCAAGGTACCTCCTGATTTCTGAGCATAAATTGGATATGGCTTTGTCCGCTAGCAAGGAATTTATATATAATTTTTTATACCTTGAGTTTTGTAAAATTTTGAGGTCTCTGTCTTGAGAGCTAGTGACAAGTTTTTGGCATAGCCTTTAAGCCGCGATATGTTTTGGGGAGAGGTGTTGTGAAGACCTTTAGATGATGGACATAAGCTTGAAATAAACTGCTTACCGATATATGAAAAAACCAATTATTGCGAGTAAAAAAACTGGTTTTATGTTCTAAGCGGTAGGTTTATCCTATCCCTAGGTATAGTCTATACTATATACTCAGGTTTTTCTTTCTTAAGTACAGCTTACCATAAATATCATACTAAAATAAGATAAAATAAAATTGAACGATTCAAATAATTGATACATGATAATATAGAAAGGATTCAGATTGGAATCCCATTGACAACATTATATTTCATACAATTATACAAAAAAAATATAAATATAAGTATTACCTGACTTCTTCATCAATAACAGGAGTGATCGAACCAGACCTTGTCCCATATTGGCTGTAGTATGGATCTTCGTACCTTGAACTTCGTTCGGGTGAAGACATGTAGCCATCTAAAAAATATTTTTGTAAAAGCACTTTATAAGTATTTTGCACTAAAATACAATTATAAACTAGTACAGTAGGTTTAAGGCTTGTCAAAAATAAAATTATTATTTATTTAGTCAATGTTATTTTTGTTGCAATAAAGAGATGTGGGACAATGTTTCCTAAAATCATCAAACTCTTCACGGCCTGCGACACTACAGACCACGCAAGGTGCGGTGAACTAATCTGATACGTTTATAAAGACCGAAATACTTTATTTACTAGGCACTACCCAAGTTTTATTCCTCGAGAGATTATTTTTCATTTTTAATGCAATCAAAGCAATGAGTACATTCCATCACTCCCTTTGTTTGACCCCGCATATGACCTCAAAAAAAAACATCCCGTGTGGATACCTATCATTCATTGACTACATTTAACTTGATCAGTTGGTACCATACCAGTGTTTAGCGGCATTCTATCACCACATTTATGTGGACTAAGATTGCTGATAGATAAATAAAAAAATTCAGAAAAAACTGCTAATACATAATTGTATTGAAGACACAGAAAAAATTGTCCTGTCTTTAGACAACGTCAATAAATAAAGCCAGTCAATGAATCCACGAATGATCTAAATCCCAACCCAAAACATGGTGCATACTTAGTCCCATCAGGACTCAACAAGATCGATAGTACAAACTAATAAACACATAATAGAAGAGTGACCAGCGATCGTAGGAAGGTAGTCCCCAAGATTTCGGTTTGCGGCATCAGAGTCGGTGAAGTATAAGAATATTTGTTTGTAAATTTACCGAGAAGTATGTTTTATATAGAATAAATGTCAATTGTTCTTAGTTGTTATACTTTTAAATGTATACCATACCATACGCCAAATAAATAAAATAAAGAAATATAAAAAATAAATAAATAGAGCAGATCTAAGATGTTTCTTAAAATAGCTGATCTCTTGTTTTGATCCCAACTCTTGTTCAGCAACTGACTTGGTCTGTATCATTGTTTTCGTTACTCGAGCACCCAGTGTACCAGGACAAAGTAAAGTTCTGTTTACTGGTTATAAGTATGTTCCTAAAGTAGGTTATAGGGCGTTTAATGTCCAAAAAAATTAGTAAATAGCCATTTGTGATCATCATAATTCCTGCCAAGATACTACTAAAATAGTGGTAAACGGATCTGTTTGGAAAACCGTAGTCGTGGTCCTTCAGTTGAAGAGAACTTCAACTATAAATGCTGAGGAAATTAGTCGTTTTTATGTAATGAAATTGGCAGCATTCAACTACCCTATAAAGATCTGACCACTACTCTAATCTAGCTTAATGGAGATAACAAGGGACGCCATGAATGTGGCAGATATATACGATAGATTAAGATGTAATGTTAGGACAATCGAAGTGCGAACATAAATTACTGCTACGCTCATATTTATATTTAATATTGCTAATTCAGGCTGTATACTACAAAAAATTTTTTAAATTAAATAAATATAATAATAAAGATAAAGAATGATTTACTATTTTTAAGGTGAATAAGTCACAATTTTACTTTCAAATAAGTTTACTTGACTTTTAGATTTCTACTCCGAAAATCGTTTTCAAAATAAAAAAACATTAATAAATTAAACAAATTTTGTTTTTTTACTTGGTCAAAAACTCTTATAATAACAATTGAATTGTATTTGACTTATTTATATTAAATTCAGAAATATATCATACATTTCGAAGTAGAAGATTGTTAATATTTTTGACAATATAATTTTAAATTATACGATAATATTATCTTACGAATACGCATCAGAAAAATAATAACATGAGATCTGTCTTTAAAAAGACAACCACATGCAATGATCACAGTAAAACTCTTCCCTTAGTGATCCCATAGTAAATCATGAAAAAAAAAACAGGAAATAATCTCACAATACTATCCTGGTATACTATCATGGTAAGTATTTGGTCTTACATTAGTTTACTTTTAATATTATTAACACCGAACTTTAATTTTAAATGATTGTTATTTTAAAACATAAATGACGTATCATAGATATTATTGATTTACTAATAGTGATATTTTCTTTCTATTAATTTCCTCTTTTAATATGAGTAACCAGATTCTACTTCATTCTGTCGACGAATAAGCGACGCAATTGGTTTCTTTTAACATAACTACAGTTGTTTCTTAGATTTTTCTATTTTTATTATCTGTTTCTTTTAATAATATACTTTAATCTTTCCGATGAATTCTTTGTTCACTTTCCCATGTATGTTTACATATTGATATAAGATTTATGTTCACTTAATCCATTATTTAATGATGTCTTGATGTTTCACCTAAATAAACATTTTTGCACTTATAAGGTATTTTATAAATATAATTCTTTGTTCCATCTTGTTCATTGTTGTGGTTTAATTTTAGATAAAACATTTTCCAATTTGTTTATTGTGTACAAAAAACGTGTACATATGTGAAATTATGAGTATAATTTTAGTTTATAAGGACTGTATTACATACGGAGAGGTTTAAGTAAATTAGGATATGTAGTTATACAGACAATAGCAAATTAAGTTTATACAAAGTCTTACTAATATACCTGCTCCACACACTCGCGGTATTGTTCAGCTTCCACTCGCAGTTGTTGTTCATACTTGGAATCTGTTCGGGTACCGGTTTCTGAACACGTGTTTTGGGGTACTAAGACTGAGATCACGAGATAGAGCACATTTGAGTCTGTATTCGATTTAAAATTGTATTTGCAGTATTTTTCGCGTAACTAAAAGCGGGAGAGAGATAATTAGTTAGCGGCAGTCAACAGTAGGGAGAGTGTCTCTTTAGCGATAGATGACAGTCAACAGGGATACGTTTGTACCAAGGAAAAGGTAACAGGCAAGAGGGGAGACTACGTCTTCCTATCGCGACTCAGCAGACGAACGAGCGAACGACTGTCCCTAGCGACAGTCGACAATCAAGATAGAGCCTTTGTTCTTTGCTATTTTAAAACTGTCTGTTCCTAAAGTAGGGGAGGTTGAACTGGAATAGAAAGGGTTATCAAGGGTTGGACTAAGGTAATGATTATAAAATTGTGGTAAAAGGATAGTTATTAATACAGCGAAAAAATGACATGATTTTTCGCATGTGAAAAAATTGAACATCTTGTTTTAAATGTTGTTGAAATGTTTATTTCCCACCGTTTTAAGCTTTTCCGATAATCCTTTTATGTATAGTATTTTTATTTTCCTCGTATTATTTTTTGTGAATGTTATAGGATCCTGTTCTAAGTTGTTCTGTTTCATTCGGTCTGTTCTTGAAAATTTCTTATTTATTAACGACAAACGATAAATATTTTTTAATAAATCAGAAAATGTTTCTCCTCTCAGAATAAATTTTCGTTACAGCAAATAATTTTGGCTCTATCGTATAATGGTTTAATAATTCCCGTTTCAACATTATTGTTGTGCTTTGATTTGTAATTGAGATATCTATTTTTGTGTGTTGGTTTTCTATACAATAATTATCTAAGTAGCGAAACCATAGATAAATACCAAAAACAGAAACAGCAGAGAACCAAGGTCAAAGAAATGGTACTAGCAGCGAAACGGAAAAGTTGGGAAGAATCTGAAAACAAGATGGAAGAAGACTACCACACTAACTGAAAGTTATTCTTTAAAACTTTACAGAATATAAAAATCAAAAAGTCTCCACAAACAACAAAGCTGATAAGAGATTACGAAGGACACCTACTGTATGAAAATGAAGTCTACAGCAACTTGAACCAGAAGAAGTAGAGTAACAAAACCAAAATTCAGGCGAAATAACTACAGCAGAAATGCTACAAAACATGGGGATTGAATTGCTAATAAAACTTTGTAATAAGGCATGAAGTCAGAGCAAAATACAAAAAGATTGGGAAGTGGAGAATATTCTACCGATACTCAAAAAGGGAGATAGGTCGGACTGTAGTCATTACAGAGGTATAACATTACTAAGTATCCCATCCAAAGTGTGCCGGAGAATATTATGGAAACGTATTTTACAAGAAGTTGATTCTAAAGTGGAACGATTACAGAGTAGGTTCAAAAAAGGTAGAAGCACAAGACGACATTTTTAATATTAAGAAACTATTACAACATACACGTAAGTCAAGCACTAAGTTATACAAAGCCTTTATTGATTGAGTACTCCAAGGAAGGTAATAGATACTTACTTAAAAAAAAGGTGTAAATACTAAACTCAGGGAAACCATTTTGAGTGTATATAGATATACAAGGAACAGGGTTAGAACCGATAATATGAAAACCGATGAGTTTGTAGTAAATGAGGGTTTACATAAAGGGTAAACCCTGGGACCCACACTATTGAATATCATCTTGGATGACATAATTAAAGAAAACAGAACAGGAACACTAAAATTATGTGCCAAACATATAGGATATCGGATAGCTGTGTGGATTTCAGAGTGCGCATACACAGACGATGTGGTGATATTTGGAATAAACGAAGAAACACCCAATCGAAATTTATAAGTGTAGAACGCTGCACTAATAAAACATAATTTAAGAATTAATGAAGAGAAAATAAAAGTAATGATATGCCGAAAAACTAGAAAACGTACGAAAATAAAAATTAACTAAAATATAGTCCAAGTCAAAATCTACAAATACTTGGGAATACAAATAGAGGACAGAGAACATAATTTTTTGATAACACATATGGTAACAAATTTTTCTCCTCTGAAAACGAATTTTCGATAGAACAAGTAATTATCACTTTAATTTAATGATTTAATAGTTTTGTTTTCAACATTGATGTTGTGACTTGATTTTTAATTTATATATATATATATATATATATAATATATATATATATATATATATATATATATATATATATAATTCTTTGGAGGGTAACTTTCGGGAAAGCGTCAAAACAAGGATTAGCTAGAGATGGTATAAGCCAGTTTGGTGTAGAACTTTATTCTAAATGTGAAATTTTCGGTGATATGTTGTCACCTTCATCAGCACATTGAAAATGTTCAGTTGGTCCTAGTGGTGAAGTG